TCCCTCCCTCCCCCCCACATTCCGTGAATATCATCCCCTCTTCACTCGTATCCTCACCATCCCCACCATTCGGCCGCTCCTATTTTTCTACCCCCGCAAAGAGAGTTAGAGATAGAGAGAATGAAGAGACAAAATAAAGACAGCAGCCGGACTAGTTGCACACGTGCTCCTCCCGTGTGTGCCGACAGAGCTCGCACTGCACTTGACAGCACCAGACGAATTTGCACTTGCACTTCTCGGTGACGTCACGCACCCTCGTCTGATAACCGCGCCCGCAGCAAAGCAGCCGACAGCCGTCCAGTCCCAGGGACGTCCTGTTGCACACACGTCCACGAGTACCAGGAATGCCCAAGCTGTAGAATGAAAAACAAGGGATGATTTGTTTACGTTCCCTTCGACTTGCATCGGACGAATCGTCAGGGACCTGATTCACACGTGCGACACGCTGCGGAACTTACGTGAAGTTTCGCTCGCAATAATCGGGACTGTCCTCGAGATAAACCAGATCCGTTTTATTCGGCCTTTTAAGATCGGGTCTGGCAGGCCGCAATCGGGCCGGTCTTCTGCCACCCCTTTGGGCCAGTCTCACCAACGCTGCGCCCTCGTGAAGGGACGCGAGTGCTGTGCCGGCCGTCCTGAACGCTGGCAATCTTCTCCAGCATACCCTCACGCTACACGAGCCAGACATTCCTAAAGCGAAACGAAGAATTACTGTAGGATGACACTCTGTTTATTGAGCCTTCCAAGGGATATTTTACTTTCGTTAAGGGACGATTTGCCCTGTTTCCACCCGCCGACGAACTCACCGTGACACTTGCACACTCTCTGCATTCGCGAGCGCACCGCGCGCCTTCCGGCCTCGCTGTCGTGTCTTCTCATTAGCTGTCCGGCCAATCCAGCTGGCCCGTTAAGGGTTGCATCCTTGAGAGGCTCCTCGCCACCCTCGGACCACTCCCTCGAGAACTTCTCACCGAAGTGAATGTCCTGGAAAAAAAAAATGTGTAAATATAATAACTCGCGCGACAACTCAAAACTCCCAATCACTTAGCTCTATACTGATTTGAGTAAGTACGCTTGACAGCAATAGGGAAAACCGCAAAGATGAATACGTCGGATAAAGGTGATATCAAGGATACGGACAGTAACAAGATCCTTAGTCGGATACGGAAGTAAGCAAGCACCGTGTTATATCCGGTGTGCAAACATCGTTATACTCGGTTTTAGGAGAAAAAGGTATCTTCCCTTGTCTCAGGGGACTCTCGTTAGAGCGAATCTTTCTCCCTCTGACTCTCTTTCTCTCTCTCTATCTCCCACATACACACTCTCTCTAATCCACACGTTGAACAGTCAAGTCAAAACGTACAACCCCAACGTGTTTACGTTTACGTCATCGCACTTCCTCCTACCCATCCAGCCAGCCAGTTTGCATAGATCCTAGAGGACAACCATCCACACGTGTCGTCGGGCACTCCCGGTAGACGACGTAGTATTACTTTCCTGGTGAAGAGTGGTATAAGAGCGAGAACGGCAGTAGCGATAGTAACTGTACGGACGGAGTAGGAGGAAGAGTAGGTGGAGGAGGGCATACAATACCTACACGGTTCGTAACCGAGAGGGTTGTTGCAACTTAACAAGCTTAGCCACCCTAATCCCCTTGTAAGCTTGCAATGTCTACAAGGGGTCACCTGTTCACGTAAAACGCATCCATTTACGGCCTACCTAAGAGAATACCGGCACGATGAGATCCAATGCTTACGTGACTACATGCGTGCATCACGTGTCCTCGAGATGATATCACATATGCATCTTATCCAATGAATGAATAAAGTTTGAAAAAAAAATATTAATTAACGATACATAGCAAGATCATAAAAAGCACCCTACGGGTAATACTGGACTGGCTGTAAAGTGAATTAATTAAATGTATTAGGATGCGAAATAATTAAGACTGAATAGAAGAGATGAAGAAAATTACCTCGCTGCAACCACCCCATTGCCAGTGACTGGGGTGTCTCGCCCTTACGCGATTGTCGCACGAGCAATCCGTCAGTTCACCCCTGGAGCAGGCACGGGTCACGCTATAGGCCACGCCTGCTGCTGATATCGCGTAGACGAACGCAGCTTCGCGACTGTCTGTAAGAAAGTATTCGTGTGATTGACTCATAGTTATATAGGAATTATTGTATATACGGGAGCCGTTGATTCCATGCTTTCGTATGGTACACTAATGGCAACGGATGATCAGAAGTAGATTGAGGTAGGTCAAAGGTCATTCAATTTGACACTCACTGACGAGCATAACACCGCCGAAAATATTATCAGGACTCTCCGGACTGATCGAGCAGTTCCATCTTGCCGATCTGAATTGATGCTGGCACTCCTCGATGGCCAATCGGGCGCCGGCACTGACGGCCTGAAAAGATTTACAAAAATATCACCGATTCTTTCGATCTTCATTTGGTACGACCAGAAACGATATTATACTCGTAAAATAGTCGAGAGGCTGAGAAGAAAAAAGAAAACGAGTCGCGAGCACTGTGGGCATGCTGGCACAACGTCGGTATAGGTACCAACCGTGCTCCGGTGTTAAAAAAAGAGATGGACACTTTATTCCTGTTATTTCCCGTCGGCAGACGTCAAAGAAATTGAGAAAAGAAAGGAAGAAAGGTCCCAAGGTTTGTCTAGGGCTCGCTTCGGAGTTCAGGCTGGCCAACCTCTCTCACAAGATTTACGCATTAGGATAAGTAAACGCCGTTTTCTCTTTCCTTCTTTTCGTCGGATTTCTTGTACCAACAGCACCGCCTTCTATTTCCCTATACGCGCCGTATAGCGACGGACAGTCATATCCCATCGGGCATACGTTATATCTACATCGGTGTAGACATATAGCCAACGCAAAAAAAAAAAGAGGATTACCTGGAGCACTGGCGGCGAACGGGAACATATTGTCTGTTGTTTAAGTGTCAAATGCGAACTCTTACAGTTTCTCTCGGCACTGGCAGGTCCAACTACAGCAGCGCCAATTGGCGTCTGAAGATCAGTACTGATCTCGGAACCGGATGTGCTGACTCTGGTCTCAATGCCGAGATACCTGGAACGAAAATTGATCTTTAATTTCTTATTGTTCCTTCAATGAGATACGAAGTGTCTGTGCACCCCTTTTGGAGTAGTAATATATTGTCAGGGGTATATAATTAGGGTAGACTGTAATTAGCGCATTCGACTGGGTTAATTGATAGGTGCGCATAGGATCTGCTGAGAATTAATTTTCTTCTGGATCTCGTTTCATATTTATAGTTTCCTTCGATTCTTTTTACAGATAAACATTTATAGTACGTGCGAAGAGATATTTTTGTCCGTGCCTCGCTGAGTGCGTAGAGATAGGTAGGACCAAGGGATGGAGTTTAACGTGACCGCGGAGGGGTTAATTTGGGGTTAAACCGTTGGGGCTGAATTTAGGGATGCTTGTTGGTAGAAGTTGAAATAATGGTGTAGCGATCGTAGGGGGTTTCGGCCCGGTAGATACTCGAGGGTAATACCGCGGCTCTCGAAGGGTGTAATTGGTAATATTAATTTGCGTTACTTAATTTTAGGGCGGTTTCTGTAGACTCTTCTTACTCGAGGGGAATTACGGCTAAGGGTGGTTTTAACGACTTGATGCAATCCTTAACGTAATGGGTATACGTTAACAGCAATCCCGGCCAGATTTTCGTATCGCGTACGTGAACATTTTTAATTAGATTTTTTTTTCATAACGAAAAATTTTTTTTAACAAAAAAAGACAGGCCCAAAATTCATAAGACTCGGAAGGCTAAGTGCTGCGCCGACGATAACGCGACGGTATCGGCATTTGGCTGACTATGCAGCCTATCCTTTTCTCTCCTCTCCTCTCTCGACCCCCTGTATATTATTTATTTGTTCTCGAAAATGCGTGGTTCCAGTTTTATGATGGTGTGAGTAATAGGGTGACTCGGCGTCCATCACAGACGCGTCGCTACGCTCTCGGTTACGTTGGGATACGACGTCGGCGATGCGAGAGCGGTGTATTTTCAGTTTGTTTTGGGTTAAAACTTTACAGCGCGTCCTGGAGTGGCGTTTAATGGGCATTTTGACGAAATCCGTCCGAGCGCCAAGAGCGTGTTATCTTGTGTACAGATTTTTCATAGGCGAACCAACGTCTCGTGGGCGTAGGTTCGCCTTAAATGTACAAAGTAACGTGACATGGGGTAGCCTTATGCTTATCCATCTTTAAAATTGCAAATCTTTGTTAGTCACGAAAGAAGTATGCAACGTGCAAAAATGATATGGTACGTATGGCTACTGTTGAACATGGACACAATTTCTTTTAGTTCAAATCACTTTCACTGCATTCATTGACATCTTATATTGGTACCTGTAGGTAACTTTTAAAACTTTTGAAAACTTCTCGTACAGTTCTAGAAGGTTCTGGACGTTGTATCGAGTCTCTATTGACGGTTGAGCTGAGCTTCTGGCCAAACAGACGATTTCGATGTCCGAGGGAGGCGCATCGGGACGATATTGAAATCAATACGAAATCTCTCCCTCTCTCTGTCTCTTTCGCTTTATGCTTGTCTTCTCCCTTACTGCTTCTACTCTTTCTCTTAGTGCTTTTCCCCCCGTTTTTTTTTTTACTGACTGATCTTGACTCGCATCTCTGGGAGCGAGAACGAGACAGAGAGAGCGAGTGAGATAGAGCGCAGGCGAGAGAGAGAGAGAGAGAGAGAGAGAGAGAGAGAGAGAGAGAGAGAAGAGCAAAGAATTGAAGAGTTCAATTAGGCTGACTGAAAAACGGGGAGACTAAATCCCTCAAGGATCGATCGCAGATGGCGAATGAAGATTCAATGTAAATCGAAATAACACGTATAAATGTGAGAGAGAGAGAGAGAGAGAGAGAGAGAGAGAGAGAGAGAGAACCAAAAGAAATTTGCCAGACAAATATGTCCGCTTCTGTGCGTAGGAAGGGGTAGAATAATAAAAATCATAAAAAGGGGGATGGCTTCGCAGAGGGAGGGATGCGAGAAGGGAAATAAATAGAGAAGGAGAAAAGATTCATATTCAGATTTGATGATGCATCCGGTAGCATAGAAGGCCCGTAAGGCTTATGGATTAAAAAACAGGGATCAAAAGAGGTCGAAGGAGCATATTTGAAATAAAAAAGAAATTAATAAATAAAAAAAATAGAGAAACGAGAAAAAATCATGCCTCTCGTACGGCTCCTTTGCCATTATCATTCGACTCGCCGTGAATGATGATTATTATTAAAGGATATCGTATTCCCGTCATAACCACGTCAGCGGTCCCATTGTCCACGTGACAGCGATAGGGCCCATTTGGTTCTCATTCACTGTGCCCATTGTGGAAATACAAAAATTGCGTAGGAACACAAGTCCCCAGCCCACTGAACACAGAGACCGAAAGCAAGACCAAATCAGAATAATACATTAGCCGGGGAATACGACTTTTATAATGAAATAATGAATTAAAAAATAAATTAAAAAATTAAAAGAATGCAACAAAATTTTTAAATTTTAAACCACAAAAGTAAAAATTATTCACTGTAAAACCCGCTGCTCCTTGCAGCCGAGGTCCATTCCCGAAATTCCGTACATCTTCACAATCGTCCCTCTGTGTGTCTTGCGAGCGCCTATGTGCGGCCAGTTAAAATCCAAATTCAAATAAACAAAAGTGTGTAGCGGCCATAAAACGGCTCAATCTACACCTTGACTGGAGGCGCTAAATGCGACCAGAAAAGTAGTAGGAGTAGTAACGTATAGGTACTGCACCCATCGTCCTCGATGTTTCGTGTAGGTTAGCCATTAACGTTGTTCGGCTCTGAGGTTGAAGAAAGGGAGAAAACAAGAGATACAGAGAGAATGCTTGTCACGATTTTACTAGAGCGTAAAAGAGCAACCCTTACCAAATTCAGACTTGGCTCTTGGAATACCCTGAACGTTAAGATAATCCAAAGCATTCTTTTAATATACAACCATACCCCATCACCCGGCCACCATATACGCAGATTGACAGATAAATCTAAAGTCAGTGAAAGAACCCACGAGAAAAATTGGAACCTGACAGTAGCTTTCTCGAATATAGAAAAGTGGCTATCAGTGACACACACGCATACCAACAAGACAACCAATCAAGAAACCATCGAACTAGCAAGAATCGAAAGCATAGAAGATTGATCTCAGCAACCCTTATTTTTTACCTTGATATTTGCAACGACCATCCTTATTCGCCGATAACCCTCGTCACTCGGTAGGTATGCGTAGATTCCTATTTCGAAGATATACCGACAGCACACAATACGTCACCACCGTGATTACAATATGTACGTTATATCAGTATCCGTGGCGAGCATTAAGCGAGACACGTGTGCTTATAGTACCATATAATATTATCGTATAGCATTTCTGGTATAATGGGAATCGGTATCGCACAATCATCTCTTGAGGGCCCAGACAAATCAGTCCGCGGGATGCTTGAAACAAGGCCAATCTTAATTAGGGGATGCAACGCCTCCCATGGGACCGTCGTTGTTAGTACGCCGCGTGTATGTACGCCTTTACCTTGTATAATATGTGTATTGCGCGGCGATGCGTGTATACGAATCATCTGCGCTCGCACATGTATCTCTACGCGTATGTACATACGTGCATATAGATATAGAATAAATCGGAAAGTGCAGCGGCAAGACCCCGGGGATATCAAATAGAGTACCATGGGTAAACGTGCCTCTCTCTCTCTCTCTCTCTCTCTCTCTCTCTCTCTCTCTCTCTTGCGCGCACGCTCTTTTTCTTGCTGTTTTCTTTTATTTCTTTTTACTATTTATTTTTTATCATTCCTTCCTTTTAAATGTATCCTCACTCTACATTCTATTCTCTATGCAGTTAATATCTACGCATGCACCTATTCTGCACATCTTACGAATCTAACTTTCATCCGTTAAAGCCTAAGCCTTCGATGTCATACGTGTGGACGTATGCATATATGTTTTAAGAAGGATAGTTCTCAGGATTTTTTGTCTTGAGTATTGGCAGTTATGAGGACACTCGCTGTTTGTCAGGACGGACCCGATAGCATGTTGATACCTAAGGTATACTGTAAGGACCATAAAGCGGCACTCACACCGAATTTTCCAAAAAATTTTTCATGCTAGACACTCAAAGTTGTGATGGGATAAGAAATGATTTCGTTAGGTTAAATTAGGTTGGAACTTCAATGCCATATGTGTCAAGGTTTAGTTTTTTCTTTAAGAAAAAAAAAACATCGACTTGCCTTTGTGAGTGTCACGCGTACTTATAACTACCCTTTTACAAGTTTATATATATATAGTTTTCTGTTACCATAGCAAGATGAGAGTCACCGTATGATTTCTTTTATTTTTATTCTCAATATTTTCTTTCTCTTTTCAATACGTGCAATTGACGTATATGGAATAAAACGACGAAGATCCAAATGATCGATATACAAAAACACGTTTTAATTCTTCTGACGCAAATTCGAATATGCGTTTTTCGTGGTTATCTTCAACATACGATTCACGATGTTTTATATTTGAAAAAAACTGTTACAAAATTCAAATTGATCGATTTGAACCAGAGATACGAGCCACTGAAATTACAAAAAGTCAAATTTGCACGACGAAGTCGGGCATGTAAAATAAGTGCGACAACCAAGATGTGATGGAGCACTTGAGAATTTTTGGAGAAAAGCCTTTTCGTTCGTCTGTCCTCATATGTATTTTTTGTTATTTATTACATCCGTAGATATCTCCAGATTCCAAGAATACCCTAACGTCCTTGGTAGTGTATAGGTATTACAGAGAATACGGGTTTAAGAGAACCGGATTGTACACTTATCGATCATTCGGGATCTATAGTAAATCTTTTTCGAAAATTGTACGAGTACGTCCCACGCAAAAAGGGAGTCGCTATCATTAACACTGTTTACGTAATCCGTTACTTTTTTTTTATCCCCAACTCCATACATTATCAACATATCCAAAGTGTCATCCATATACATGCACTACACGTGCGATCGCAATAACGACACTGGGTATTAGGA